ATTTTTGTTGGGAGGGGGAATTTGGGGGCAAGAGGTAAAAAGTTTTCTAGGAGGGGACATTTGGGGAGGTGTGCTAGGGGCGGTGATTTGGGAAATCTGTGTTGGAAGTGGGGAAGAGAATTTGTGCTAGGAAGGGGTATCTGGGGAGTTTGTGCTAGAAAACGTGATATGGTAGAGGGATGACGGAATTTGTTCTACGAGGGTACATCTTTTCATGGGGGAAATTGTACTAGTAGGAATGTTTGGGGGGTATTTATGCTAGGAGGGGAAATCTGTGTGTGTGTGCGGTGGGGGGATTTATGCTCAGATGGGAAATTTGATTTGTGCAAGGAGGGGGAAATTATTTTGATTTTATTTTGGAGATTCGTGCTGGGTATATGGGAAGAGAGAGTATTTGGCCTGGGGTAATTGGGGGGGGCAATCATTTGTGCTGGGCAGGGGGGATTTCAGTAGGGGACAGATTTGTACTGGGAGGAGGGGTAATTTATGCTTGGGGGTAAGCATGTAGATTAGTGCTCAATTTATTTATTTATTTTTTTTTGGGGGGGGGGGGATTTTTGCTGACACATAATGCTCATACATCTTGGGAGGGTGCAATTTGGCATATTTGCCCTGGGCTCCAGATTAGTTTGTCCTGGAACTGCATAGCCAAACGGGAAGTAAGAAAATATCTGTCAATTAAGAGAATTTCTTGGGAACCCCCAGGTCACCAGATCTAGTGCCCCCATTGGAACATTTCCCCTCTAAATTTGGGGTTTCTTTTACTTTCACTTATATCAATGGTAAACAGGACAAATAGAGAGGGTGAATCTCTATAACAGGGACATGGACAGCAATAAAAAAACTAACAGGTGTTCTAATCCATCTCCATTCTGTCCAAAACAAAAAAAAAATTCCTTTAGTTATATTTTAATAATTGTTAGTATTTGCAGTCAGTTTGTGAATGTTCACTTAGTATGAAGTTAATGTAGATACAAACTAACTGGATATTACTGTGTAACATAAACAAGTGCCATATTTTTTGCCCATAAAATATTGATTTCACCCTCAGTGCTGCTGATCTCCTCCACCCTCTTTCAGTCATTTTCTACTTCTATGCACTTTCTCCAGCATGAGCCGCATGCCTTTGATTCCTGAAAGTTGCAGCGTTTGACAGTGCCTGAGCAATGTGCGATGTTCCAGTCACTGGTGGTCTCCACTACAGGCTCATGTGATAGGGTGACAGGATGCACAATTGGAAGACAAGTGTCAGCCCAGCAAGAAGTACCTGAACAAAGACTTCATGGTAGGATAACCTGGTATTCTTTTAAACTCCCTAGCGGTCTGATTATGTCAGTATTTCTGTGCTCAAAGCAGTACATTTTGCATGGAAATATGTAGTTTTTTTATTGTAGACCTGTAATTCTTAGGAATAACTCACTGAAATCTGTCTGAACAAGAGTCTAGTAAACATTCTGGGTATGTTAAAATTTGAAACACGAAATCATAAATTATAATTTAATAAATAATCAAAAAATATTATAATAATAAATTTAATTCAATAATATAATCAAACCAAAAACACTGAAATTTGAAATATAGCGCCAAGTTTGCACATCACTGAGTAAAGTCGCAAAATCGTTTTCAGTGTCTGATGCCGAATTTCCCCACGAATCATTATCACTCAATTCTGCAAGTAGTTCAAATTTACTATCGCTGTTCTAAAACCGCTTTTGACCTAAAGGGACGTTTTTTGGACGCCATGGACATTTCTCAGTTTCAAGGCAGAAGAACAGTAAAAATGCAGGCAGGGCACAGGACAAAGCACTAGGGACAAAATGTATGTGAAATGGTTTGATACAGTAATGTTTTACTATGTGATTTTTGATGGAAATTTACACCAAAGGTTAGTAAACATGGTGAAATTTCACTTTGAAAAGAATACCTAATCACATGCAAGGAAAACTAAAAAAAAAACTGTATTTTTTGCATGCTGATTGGATTACAAACCTCAGAACTTTGCTCATTCACTAGGCCAGTCTTTCTCAACCAGGGTGCCCAGGCAAATGCCTTGAGGGTTCTTCAGGGGTGCCTTGGCAAAATGTCTAAAAATTGCCCAAAACTTGTATACAAGCCAGCGGGTGGAACAAGCCTATTTTTTAGTTACACAAAGCCACAGGTTTTCATTGTGCACCATTATGACCTTCGAGCCGCTGGCATCCTGACAACCAATGACATCATTTGAAAAGGAGTATGTTAGCTGCCTGCACAGCATCCTTGTTTGACCCTCCCCAGCCGCTCTTTATTAGTGCTGGGGTCAATCAACTCAGTGATTTAGAAAAACTGAGGAAGAAGAGAAACCATGGAATACTAGTCAGTACCAGTGTGCAAAAGTATACAGTTGTGACCAAAATTATTCAACCCCCACTGAAATTGAGTGTTTTGGCCAGTTTGACATTGCTTTTGATCATTCAGTCATCTTGCTTACATTTACATTAAAGAGGCACTTGTAGGTCAGACAAATATAACATAACAGTTATAATGAAATAACCACAAATGTCTTTTCTGTGCTCACAGCATTATCAGTTTTATTCAACCCCCAAGTGACATTCAATCTTAGTACTTAGTACAGCATCCTTTTACAGTTATAACAGCTTTTAAACGTGAAGCATAGCTTGACACAAGTGTCTTGCAGCGATCTACGGGTATCTTCGCCCATTCTTCATGGGCAAAGGCCTCCAGTTCAGTCACATTCTTAGGCTTGCGCACTGCAACTGCTTTCTTTAAGTCCCACCAGAGGTTCTCAATCGGATTTAAGTCTGGTGACTGCGATGGCCACTCCAAAATGTTCCAGCCTTTCCTCTGCAACCATGCTCTAGTGGACTTGGAGGTATGCTTGGGATCATTGTCCTGTTGAAAGGTCCAACGTCTCCCAAGCCTCAGGTGTGTGACGGACTGCATCACGTTTCCATCCAATATCTCCTGGTACTGAAGAGAATTCATGGTACCTTGCACACGCTGAAGCTTCCCTGTACCTGCAGAAGCAAAACAGCCCCAAAGCATGATTGACCCTCCACCATGCTTCACAGTAGGCAAGGTGTTCTTTTCATCATAGGCCTTGTTCTTCCTCCTCCAAACATAGCGTTGATCCATGGGCCCAAACAGTTCTAATTTTGTTTCATCAGTCCACAGAACACTATCCCACAACTTTTGTGGTTTGTCCACATGGCTTTTGGCATACTGCAGTCGACTCTTCTTATTCTTTGGAGACAGCAAGGGGGTACGCCTGGGAGTTCTGGCACGGAGGCCTTCATTACGCAGTGTGCGTCTTATTGTCTGGGCTGAAACTTCTGTACCCACATCTGACAAATCTTTTCTCAGTTCCTCAGCAGTCACACGGGGACTTCTCTCCACTCTACGCTTCAGGTAGCGCACAGCAGTCGAAGTCAGCATCTTCTTTCTGCCACGACCAGGTAGCGTTTCAACAGTGCCCTTTGCCTTGAATTTGCGAATGATGCTTCCTAAGGTGTCTCTTGGTATGTTTAACATCTTTGCAATCTTCTTATAGCCATTGCCCTTCCTGTGAAGAGAAATCACCTCTTCTCTTGTCTTCCTGGACCATTCTCTTGCCTTCACCATGTTTGTAACCACACCAGTAAATGTCTAGAAGGAGCTGAGTATCACAGTCATTTTAAAGCTGCCTAATTGGTGCTTATTATGCTTGATTGCTGCTCGGTGACATCCACAGGTGTTTTCAATACCTGATGGAAAGCACCTGTATGAACCTCTGTTCTTCAGAGTGGTAGTCTTTAAGGGGTTGAATAATTGTGGCAATGAAGAAACCACATAAGAACCATTTACTACTGTATTACATAAACAATTGATGTCTCAGGACTGTCCATAATTTTAAAGGGGGACTTGACTGAAAAAAAGGTTGAGAAACACTGCACTAAGCTCTGGAAATAATTTTGCAAAGTGAACCCTTAGTATACCTACCCCTTTGAGTCAGGTGATCTCACCACATAGGGCTACTCACAGCACTGGTTTACCACTGTCCACGAGAAGACGTAAAATGGAAACTCTCCATCTCGCCTACTAAGAACTGCTGATCTGGTCCATTTTTTTGCTAAGCAATCTGCTTAATGCATGAGTACACCAGGGAAATTTCGATTGCCTGACATTTTTAATCCTTTTATGGGTGTTGAGTCCCATATTATAATATTACACAATAATTCCCTTGACTGCCAACAAAAAACTCACTATCATAACAGAAGGGCATTATGTGGTTATTGTTTTGGGTAACGAAGCAATGAGTACTAGCAGAGCATAAAATAAACTGTGGTAATCACTTGATACATTACAATTCTGTTTAGCTGAAGAAACTCCAGGAGAATATGCTTACGGGCCTCTGATGTGTTTACAGAAAGCCTGCTTCCAAGTATCTTGGAATTCTCTTTTCAGCATGAACAGAACTCTTGGAATGTTGAATAATAAGAAAGTTTCAGCCGGGGCAGATTCCAAGTATTACACCTTGTGGACTATGGACAGAATGAACTAAGAGGTGGAGGGACTGAAGGAAAATCCTGTCATAAGAAGACTATACTAGTATGCGGATGCACAATATAAAAAGGTATTGACATGAGATGCATTTCACATAACAAATAACATATTAACAAACCACTGGTTAGTATCCATATCACTCCCTAGGCCATTTCCGTAGACATGATGTTCACTGTGTTGGGTGCAGACATTTTTATTTCTTTATCATGACAGGTAGGCAGGTACAGGCTATCAATCTCTATCCACAGTCCCAAAATCCTGCACAGTACACTGTGATGAGAATTAGAATATGTATGACTTTGGGTAGGAGGGGGAGTGGTTGCAGGGCAGTGGGCATGGATATTATTGACTTTCTTAGGAAAGTCAACATTTATATATTAACTGCTTCCCCACCCCCCTATAGCTGAACTACTGCTACAGTGCGGCACAGCGGCGCAAAATCATGTGTATATATATACGTGATTTTGCATTTCCAGGTAAGGGGTGTGCGTGCGCGATTACAACTGTCGATCACCGGGTCAGGCCAGAGATTCCCAGCTGATATCTGGCGATCGCTGAGTAATACTGACAGGGAGAGGTCTGTATGTAAACAACACAGATCTCTCCCCTGTCAGCACGAACAGGCTGCTTTGTATTGCTCTGCACAGGAAAGCAATGCAAAGCAGCTTGTCTCCCTATTAAGCTTATGTACTCTCCAGCGCCTCAGGATATGCACAGCCAAAAGGGAAGCCAAGGGTACCAGGACAGCAACAACCAAAAAGAAATGTTCCAGGGGTGCAGCCCTCCTCAGACGGGGAAATCAGCCACTGGATAGACAGAAAACAGGTGGCGCGCACACACCTAGTGCATTATCCAAGGTTTATTGTAGGAATTAAATCATAAAAACATACTCACAGACGAAGCATGTATCTAAAAAGCATAGAAAAATGACAATGGCCACAACGGCGGGCAAGGTGTTCTCACTGTCAGTGCGGTCAAATGGTTGACGCGCTTCGGGGACGAATCCCTTTCCCCAGAGCTGATGACCAACCTCTGATGCTGATGCACGATGAATGGAAAGTAAAGTAAGAGCCATGCTGTTGATGCCTCAACAGCATGGCTCTTACTTTACTTTCCATTCATCGTGCATCAGCATCAGAGGTTGGTCATCAGCTCTGGGGAAAGGGATTCGTCCCCGAAACGCGTCAGCTTTTGACCGCACTGACAGTGAGAACACCTTGCCCGCCGTTGTGGCCATTGTCATTTTTCTATGCTTTTTAGATACATGCTTCGTCTGTGAGTATGTTTTTATGATTTAATTCCTACAATAAACCTTGGATAATGCACTAGGTGTGTGCGCCACCTGTTTTCTCTCTGTCTCCCTATTAAAACACACACAGCACACAATTAACCCTTTGATTGCCCCAGATGTTAACCCCTTCCTGCCCAGTGTCATTAGTACAGTGTCAGTGCTTTTTATTAGCACTGATCACTGTATTAGTGTAATTGGGATGTCAGTAGCAGTTGGTCCGCCCCCGGCGTCAGAATGTCTGCCACAGTCCCGCTATAAGTCACTGATCATCACCATTACTGGCATAAAAAAAAAAAAATTCCAGTATATATACCGCCATTTGTAGATGCTATAACTTTCACCAAATTAATTTACATGTATTGGGATTTTTTTTTAGCAAAGACATGTAGCAGAATACATTTTGGCTTAAATTTATGACGAAATTAGAGTGTTTAAAATTTTTTTACTGGATAGGTTTTATAGTGTAGGGAACTGTTATTTTATACACTAGTTGTGGTTTGTTTACATTCATATACAGCCACTACCATAGAGGTCCCATTACAGACAAGTCCCTAGGTGTGCTTCCTGCCCCTACAAGGAGGTCAAGAAACCCCAGGATGTTATATAGTTTGTTTTTCCAGGAAGTATCAGGCAGAGGGTGCCAGCCTGCCATGTGCTGTGTATCTGGGGGGAACTGTATGGTGATTCTGTGAGTAATGATCCAGACTAACAAGGCTGCTATCTATCTAGTTGTTACTGAAGCAGATTAGGTCTGCCTCTGTTATATTTCAACTTCTGTATTGGAACCCTAATATCTCTGTAAGAGAGAGATTTGTGGTTCATTATCATTATTCTATTTACACACTGCAGAATCCTTATAGTATATATATATATATATATATATATATATATATATATATATATATATATATATATATATCTCAGTGTTTTCACCTGCATAAGACTGTCAGGTGAACTTTCTGTTAATTGCAGTGTATCTTTGCAGTCTCTTTGCTTAAAGCCATAGTACCCTTATTGGTCTGGATCTCACTTTAGCTAGGATTAGCATAGGGAGCGTTGGATAGATTAGGCTAGAGGTAGGTTAGGCATCCGACGGCCTCTTAGACAGATAGAGGCCCGGTTGCAGTGACAGCCCAGTTTAGGGATAGGGACTAAGAGTAAGGAGAGATAGGGCATTTTATCCTTTTAGGTGATGCATCGCTGATCATCAGACAAGCAGTGCAATCATCTGCATAGAACGTGTTACTTGGACGCCATCACAGCATCTGAAGTGGAAGCGTGCATCTTATTGACTCTCACCTCTCCAGGGGCCCCTGCAACTGGGCTGCGCTATAACCCATGGTTGGAGGTATTCTGTATACTACATGCACATATACCCGGGTATAATTGCAACCTCCCAATTTATGGTAAATTGCAATTCCTGAATGTTATTCTTATGCATCCTGTTTTATGTGGCTGGTTTATATAAACTTTGCATTAATCTCATACAGGTGTGGTGACATGTTTTCATGTTAGAAATATAAGCTGGGTGCATTAATACTGCTATGTATAGTTACTTTAAGTTGTCTACCTGTTACATTCCTAGAAAGGGGTGAGTCTCCTCAATTGCAGGATCCCTATTTTAGGTGGAGGCACTGCCATTTGTATTATCACAACCCCCTCTTCCATATATCGAAGGCTCAGGATTGCCTACTTATATACAGGTTAGCGCCATAGCTTGTTTGGTGTGGGCCATTTTACATACATAACCCCCCCAAAACAGGGCTACAATAGCAAAAAGTAAAAAATATAGTTTTTTTCAAAAATTGTTGGTCTTTTTTTGTTTATAGCACAAAAAATAAAAAACCGCAGAGGCAATCAAATACCACCAAAAGAAAGCTATATTTGTGGGGAAAAAAAAGACATGCATTTTATTTGGGTGCAGATTGCATGACTGCGCAATTGTCAGTTAAAGTAACACAACGCCAAATCACAAAAATGGCCTGGTCAGGAAGGAGGGTAAATCCTCTAGAGGGCAAGTGGTTAATGAGCAAGGCAACGTAACCTCCATAGCGGTCTGATTATGTCAGTATTTCTGTGCTTAAAGCGGTACATTATTTTCAATGGAAATTTGTTGTCTTTTTATTGTAGGCCTGTAATTCTTAGGAATAACTCACTGAAATCTGTCTGAAAAAGAGTCTAGTAAACATCCCGGGTATGATAAAATTTGAAACACGAAATCATAACTTATAATATAATAAATAATCATAAACAATAATAAATTTAATTCAATTATATAATCAAACCAAAAACACTGAAATTTGAAATAGAGCGCCAAGTTCGCCCATCGTTCAGTTCAGTCGCAAAATCGTTTTCAGTGTCTGATGACGAATTTCCCCACGGATCATTATCACTCAATTCTGTAAGTAGTTCTATTTTACTATCGCTGTTCTCTAGCTGGTCTAAAACCGCTTTTGACTTAAAAGGGACGCTTTTTGGATGCCATGGACATTTCTCAGTTTCAAGGCAGAAAGAACAGTAAAAATGCAGGCAGGGCACAGGACAAAGCACTCGGGACAAAATGTATGTGAAATGGTTTGATACAGTAATGTAATACTATCAAATTTTAGTGTATTGAGTGAATGTACAATTTTTACATTTTTTGAATTTCCCGCCGGTTCCGTCCCTCGTGTGTCCGGAATGTCCTGACGCTCGCAGGGAATGGAACCCACAGGACATTGCCGGGACGCTGCAGGGGGGGACAACACCGGAGCGCAGGACAAGGTAGGTAAAACAGGGATAGCTGGAGAAGCGCTGCAGTGTATTCCCGAGTGTAGCTCTGGGTTACTGCTTCTGGCACTGAGCTACACTCGGGAAGACCGCCAGGGAGGTTAAACAATGTGGGCATCACAGTGGTTAAATGGTTAGCACTTCCGCCTGGCAGTACTAGGGTTGTTGGTTCAAATCCCAACCAAAGCACCACCTGCCTGGAGTTTGCATGGTCTACCTCTGCCTGCGTGGGTTTCTTCTGGGTACTCTGATTTCCTCCCACCATCCAAAGAAATGCTTGTAGGTAAATTGGCTCCTGTCTAAATTGGCCCTAGTATGTGTATGTATGAATGTAAGTTAGAGACCTTAGATCATACACCCCTTGAGGGTTAGGGACTGATGTGAATATACAATATATATGTAAAGCACTGCGTAAATTGATGGCACTATATAAGTACCTGTAATAAATAATAAACTGTACCAAAGTACATTTATCCTTGCATTAGGTGCATGCATGTCAGGTTTTACAGACAAAGCAGTTGATGTACAAAAGATGTAAAGGCTGTTTACTTTGCAAGGCAAAGGTGACCCTATACTAGTAGAGTTTTGAATGAATAGTCGTAGGAAAATATGTCCAAAAATTATCAATACATTCAATGACTCAACAAATGTCATTTGAAAGTACGTCAAAAAGTTTAACATTTCATTTTGGAATGAAGGGAATTTAACGGAAAAAAAAAATCACTGTTAGAAATGAGCTTGTTTGACAAAAATTTGCCGACTTGCTCTTTCGAATTTTCTCCCCACAAATGACGAAAAGGAACAGCAATTTGACCCCACAAACAATTAGAAACTTGAAAGGACGTTCTTACAATTAAAAAGTTCAAATTAAATTCTAGTAGTGTATGGTCAGCTTAAAGCGATTGTAAAGGCAATTTTTTTTTAAACAACAAACATGTCACACTTACCTTCTCTGTGTAATAATTTTGCAAAGAGCAGCCCCGATCCTTTTCTTCTTGGGTCCCCCACCGGTGCTCCCTTCTGCCAAGTGCCCCCAGAACAAGCACCTTGCTATGGGTGGGCAAACGAGCAGGCTCACTCTTGAGCCGCTGCTCTGTTTGACCATTCACAAAAAGGCCCTGTCTCAGCCAATGGGAAGAGGTTGAGAGACCCAAGGCCTGCATGCACATACTGGCTCAATGGGCTGGGGAGGGCTGCTACACACAGATGGTTTTTACCATCAAGCATAGAATGTTTGATGGTAAAAAACCTTCAGCCTTTACAACCACTTTAAATATTGGGAAATATCCAATCATATGCAATCACTTTGGATACCCAATCATATGCAAGTTAAACTATGGACACTATGGGGGTTAATTTAGTCAAACTGGCAGAATCTGGTGCAGCTGTGTATGGTAGCCAATTAGCTTCTAACTTTAGCTTGTTCAATTAAGCTTTGACAATAATGCAGGCCATAGATGGGTCGAAACTCGGCCGATTTTTTCGGCCGAAAATAAAATCGGCCTATTTTCGGATCGTTAGTGGGCTAATTGTTCGGCCGTTTTTCGGTATTTTGGCAGATTTCTTTTATCGGTAAAGTTGGGAAAAATCGATTTTAAATTTCAAATTATGGGCACATAATCGATTTCAATTATGGGCACATCGGCCGATCTTTTTACCGATAAAAAAATCTGCGCATGAGCAGTGACCTGCAAGAGGAAGACAAAAAAGAAGAAGATGAAGATGAAGAAGAGGATGAAGAAGAAGAAGAGGATGAAGAGGAGGATGAAGAAGAGGAGGAAGATGAAGAAGATGAAGAGGAGGATGAAGAAGAAGATGAAGAAGAGGAGGATGAAGAAGAAGAAGAAGAGGATGAAGAAGAAGAAGAGGAGGATGAAGAAGAAGAAGAGGAGGATGAAGAAGAAGAAGAGGAGGATGAAGAAGAAGAAGAGGAGGATGAAGAAGAAGAAGAGGAGGATGAAGAAGAAGAAGAGGAGGATGATGAAGAAGAAGAAGAGGATGAAGAAGAAGAAGAGGATGAAGAAGAAGAGGATGAAGAAGAAGAAAACGAATTCCAGTCCGGCAAAAAGTGTCCTTGCAGAGAGCTCCACTATTTCTTTGACAGTTCTTTGACATTTATAGCGGTTGCAATAATGTATCTATTTGTTTCTGAATAAAAACATCTGTATACTAAATGGATACAAATTGACATTTATAGCGGTTGCAATAATGTATCTAAGAACTGTCAAAGAAATAGCGGAGCTCTCTGCAGGGACACTTTTTGCCAGCTGTAGATGGGATGAAAATTGGCCGATTTTTTTTTACCGTTCCTGGTAACGTCGGCCGCTTGAACGACCGATTTTTCGTTTTTTTAAAGAAAAATCGGCCGGTTTTCTCCCCATCTATGGCCTGCATAAAACCTGGAAGCTGATTGGTGTCTGGAGCTGCACCAGATGTTGCCCCTTCCA